GGGAAGAGAGGTGGGGTGGGAGGATGGGTTCGGGGGTTGGCAGGGGTGAGTGGGGGCAGGGCGGGGAGGCGAGTGAGGGGCGGGGGTGAATGGGGAGGCAGAAGGGAGGGGGAGACAGAGGAGCGAGGGGGCAGGGAAGAGGGGTGGGGTTGGGGGCGTGAGTGAGGGGCAGGGCAGAGGGGTAAGTGGGGGGACAGAAGGAGGGGGTGGGGGTGTGTGGCCGGCAGGAGCGGGTCTGGGGGTGCTCGGCTCTAACCGTCATCCCCCCCCCGGAACCCCCCTTCCCAGGCACCAAACTCTACATCGACCCCTTCACCTACGAGGACCCCAACGAGGCCGTGCGGGAATTCGCCAAAGAGATCGACGTCTCCTACGTCAAAATCGAGGAGGTGATCGGCGCCGGTGAGCCCCGAACCCCCGAACCGGCCCCTGAACCCCCAAACTGGCCCCTGAAGTCCCAAACCCCCGAATAGTCTCTGAGCCCCCAAGTTCACGGCTTCTGCTCCCTCAAATCCATCGCCCCTGCAACTGGGATCCCAGGGGGGCGGGGGGCCCACGCTGCGGTTGCTCAACTGAGGGCAACCCCCCAAAAACGGGTGGTTATTTCGAATAATTTGATCCACCTGGTTACCATATGCCAAACACGCAGGTCCCTGAAAGCGCCCCCAGCCTTTGGGCTCCGTGCCCGGACGGGCCGCATCAAGGACAGGAAGGACAATTGGAAATCTGGTTAGTCTTCTAAAATGTTTCTCTCTCTCTGTTTCATTCCCCCCTTTCTCTCTGTCTCCACCCACTTTTTCATTCCCTCTTTCACCCGTCTTGTTTTTTCTTTCTCTGTTTCATTCCCTGTTCCTTTCTCCTTTCTCTCTCTCTCATTCTTTCACTCTGTTTCATTCCCCCTTTTTCTCTGTCCCGTCTCACTGTTGTATTCCTTCTTTCTCCCCGCCTTCTTCTTTCTCTGTTGCATTCCTCCTTCCTCTCCGTTTTCTTCCCCCTTTTTCTGTGTCTTATGTTTCATTCCCTCTTTCCCCCATCTCACTTTCTTTCTCCCCATTTCATTCCTCCTTTCTCTCTGTATCATTCTCTTTCACTCTCCGTTTCGTTCCCCCCTTTCTCTCTGTCTCAACCCACTGTTTCATTCCCCCTTTCTCCCCACCTGGCCCCCTTCTCTCGGCAGGGGAGTTCGGGGAGGTGTGCCGGGGCCGGCTGAAGGTGCCTGGAAAGAAGGAGAGCTGCGTGGCCATCAAGACGCTGAAGGGGGGGTACACGGAGCGGCAGCGCCGGGAGTTCCTCAGCGAGGCCAGCATCATGGGGCAGTTCGAGCACCCCAACATCATCCGGCTGGAGGGGGTGGTGACCAGCAGCACCCCGGTCATGATCCTCACTGAGTTCATGGAGAACGGGGCGCTCGACTCCTTCCTGCGGGTATGGGGACCCCAGTACGGGGGGAGGGACCCCAAAAACCCTACCACACCCCCAAACCACCCAGGCCATGGAGAATGGGGCCCTCAGGTTATTTTCGGGGCTCCAGGAGACCCCGAAATACAGGGCAGGGGCCCCTGAAATACAGGGGGGAACCCAAAAGCCCCCACATGCTGAGTCCCCTCCCCTCTGTAGCAGTGCCAAGGTGTGAGCCCGCCTCCCACCTCTTCCGGCCCCGCCCCCACTCCCCTGGGACCCTGCCCCTGTCCTTGTGAGCCCACCCCCTGAGGTCCTACCCCTGGTTCTGTTGCCGTGCCCCCACTCCCTGGGACCCTGCCCTTTTAGCCCTTCCCCCTGGGGTCCCATCTCTGCCCCTGTGACCCCACCCCCATGCCCTGGGGTCCCGCCCCTGTCGCGCCACCTCCGACCCCGGGGCCCCACCCCTGCCTCTGTGACCCGACCCCCGAGTCCTGCCCCCAGGGCCCCGCCTCTGAGCCATGCCCCCTCTGGTGGCTCCTCCCCACCCCCTGGGGCCCCGCCCCCTGCGCTGACCCCGCCCCCGTCTCCCCCCCAGCTGAACGAGGGGCAGTTCGCACCCATCCAGCTAGTGGGGATGCTGCGGGGCATCGCCTCGGGGATGCGCTACCTGGCCGAGATGAGCTACGTCCACCGGGACCTGGCCGCCCGCAACATCCTGGTCAACTGCAACCTGGTCTGCAAAGTCTCCGACTTCGGCCTCTCCCGCTTCCTGGAAGAGAACTCCTCCGACCCCACCTACACCAGCTCCCTGGTACGGCCCGGACGCCGGGGTTCTCGCCTGCCTCCTGGGTTCTCTCCCCGGCTCCGGGAGGGGAGTGGGGGCTGGCGGATGAGAGCGGGGGGGCTGGGAGCCAGGACTCCTGGGTTCTCTCCCCAGCTCTGGGAGGGGAGTGGGGGCTGGCAGATGAGAGCGCGGGCAGGGGGGGCTGGGAGCCAGGACTCCTGGGTTCTCTCCCTGGCTCTGGGAGGGGAGTGGGGGCTGGCGGATGAGAGCGGGGGGGGGCTGGGAGCCAGGACTCCTGGGTTCTCTCCCTGGCTCTGGGAGGGGAGTGGGGGCTGCGCGGGGGAGCTGGGAGCCGGGACTCTCTCACCCTCCTCGTCCCCAGGGCGGGAAGATCCCCATTCGCTGGACAGCCCCCGAGGCCATCGCTTTCCGCAAGTTCACCTCGGCCAGCGACGCCTGGAGCTACGGGATCGTCATGTGGGAGGTGATGTCCTTCGGAGAGCGGCCCTACTGGGACATGTCCAACCAGGACGTGAGTACGCCCCCCCCCCCCCCAGCCTGCCCCCCCTCGCCCTGGGCTGGGTCAGAGCCGTTCTGGGTGGCTGTTAACCAGCCACTCCGCCCCAGAGGTGGCCGCATCTCAGCGCTGGGCGAGGGGTCCCCGTGTAACCGGCCGCCCCGCCCCAGAGGTAGCTGCATCTCAGCGTCGGGCGACAGGTCCCCGTCGAGGCCCCACCCCCCACCCGCAGCTGGGTCTGAGCCGCGCCGTCCTCGCAGGTGATCAACGCCATCGAGCAGGACTACCGGCTGCCCCCCCCACCCGCCTGCCCCACGGCGCTGCACCAGCTCATGCTGGATTGCTGGCAGAAGGAACGAAGCTCCCGGCCCCGCTTCGCCCAGCTCGTCAGCTCCCTCGACAAGCTGATCCGCAACCCGGCCAGTCTGCGCATCGTCGCCCGGGACGGCGCCGGGTGAGTCCTGTGGGGCGGGGCCTGGGTGGCTGGGATATGGGGGGGCTCAGAGCTGCTGGGCCTGGGGGGAGGGGGGACTCGAGAGTGGCTGGGCCTGGGGGGCTGGCGTATGGGGGGGCTCGAGAGTGGCTGGGGCCTGGGGGGATGTGATAGTGGGGGGGCTGGAGATAGTGGGGTGGCACAGAGCGGCTGGGCCTGGGGCAGGGAGGGGTGGCTGAGATATGGGGGGGCTGGGATATGGGAGGCTCGAGAGCGGCTGGGCCTGGGGGGCTGGCGTATGGGGGGGCTCAGAGTGGCTGGGCCTGTGGGGATGTGATATGGGGGGGCTGGGATATGGGGGGCTCAGAGTGGCTGGGCCTGAGGGGGGGCTGAGATATGGGGGGCTGGGATATGGGGTAGGAATGGGGGGGGTTGGGGAAGGGAAGGGTGGGGTTAGGGGCCACCTGTTCCCCTCCCCCCTTTTTCTCA